GAAAAGCATCTGATAGCACTAAGTTGATCAGAGAGTTTAAATAGAGGATCTACAAGCAGATCTTAGGTATTACAATTGGTGGGTAACTATAGATAGAAATAGATCAGAGCCCTTAATTAGACAATGTTAGTAGATAGGTAAAGACAAAAAAAAAAAAAATAAAAAGGAATATATACCTGAGTGGTAAAATGAACCACAATGACCTGTGTAAACTGTCTAATCTCTCTAGTTGAGCTTGTAGTAAAAATTGTTATGGTATTAGTAAAGGATCTAGAGGCAAAAAAAAGAAAGCACTAACCCTAAAGACTATGATTGTATTACGTATGTAGAAAGGTAGCACACTATACTCGTTCTTTTTCTGTGCAAATGCTGCAAGTGAGAAGTGAAAACAAGGGTACAAAAGACTTGAAAGTAAGGGATGTAAGATGTATGAGGTTCATAAACATAAAGGATAAAAGGAAAAGGCCCAGGTATTATCAAAAATCAGCAGGATTAAATAATGCTAATATGAACAATGCTAATAGAACATATATTGGACATTGGTACCATTATAAAAATGGTGTTGAAAAAGATGACAACAAGGTACTTGCCTTAGTGCTTTAATTATGATGAGGATGGTGATTTAAATAGACATAGTAATTCTGAAGATGATTTGAAGTCAGCTGAAGGCTGCAATTCGAAAGGACGAAACAACCTTAGAACATGTTGTGATAAAAACAATGATAGCTCTAAAGATCGAAAAGATTCATTTGTGTAGTGCTTGGAACTTGCTAAAAATAGAAAAGTTGGGAATATTAGCTTGGATGATAAAGGAGAAGTCTATTCGAAGAGTGATGTTGCTAGAACAATTGATGTTGAGAATTGTTATTGAAATGATGAAATATATAAAATGAATGATGAAGAACTGGAATACTCACCTGATCCGGAGGATGAAAGAGAACAAGAAAGTGAATTTGTTGGTAAACATAATAACAAAGCCAGTGAAGAGGAAGCAATGGTGTTGATAGAAGCTTCGTTGAGTGTGGTAATGAAAATAGATATATTGATAAAAGGCCTTGTAGAAATATTGAGGAAATAGAGAAATTTAAATAGTGCCAAAGAGTTTGTAGCTAATGATGATGAGGGTAAAGCTACAGATGGTAGAACGTATGAAGAGTGTTTGAAAAACGTTAGATGTGACAATTTGAATAAACGACAGAATCTTGAATTCTGTTATAAAAATGGAATTAAGGATAAAACTGATGAATGTCAGACATTTAGGTGGAATTTGAAACCCTATAAAGCGACTCAGGATCAGTTAAACACGAAGCAAACATTGTATAATGTGATGCTAGTAAACAATCGAAGAATAGATTTAGCCAAGGCAGGAGGAACAAACTACCAGATTATCAAAATGTTTGGTGCTACTGCGGTTGTGAACTGAAAGATAAATTGGAATCAGATCGTATCATGTAGAGGTGAAAAGATCGATTTTCTCAAGGGCTGTACTTGGATCATATGATCGAATACAATGGACTGGAAAGTGTGGTGTTCAGAAGCTGTCTTGATGTTTGTAAACTTGGAAGAATGAATATATAAACGTTGCGATCTCAAGGGCATTTGTAATGATAGATATTGAAAATGATTCAGGTAATGCGAAAAAAAAAAATTTTTAGTGTTAGTATATGTGTTGATTAGAAAATATATTGCATATAGATAGTAGTAGGTTTGCTAGTGATATAGGGGTTGCAAGTA